GACCGAAAGCCAGATGAATTATGGGAAGATATCAAGATATCAAAAAGTTGAATGAGATGATGGGGTAGTCAAAGAAAAAGTATTCGTAAACAGCAGTTACCATGTTTTCATTCATGTGAAAATATTACTCACTCATTTTGTTATATGAAAACGAGAGGGTGTGTCAAAAGGCATACTATTGCCTGAACGTGTTGTACCTCCTACATCCAAAATAGCCCCAAGAGTCAATTGGCATAACATATATATCATATATGCCTATATCACCATGAGACTGGAAGAACTAGATGATGCCCAGCTATAACTGTCAACCACTTGGAAAGGGATCAGTGCCGGAGATCCTCGATAGAGTGGGAGGACAATGTGGAACAACTCAAAATCATAAAAGAAAGACCAGGCTTATTTGTCTGATAGAGCCTGGTGAGACCCCTATGGGCCCTCATTACCCTGCAGGTCTGGAATTGAACTCACTCCCTTGGCTTCTAGCCAAACAATAGACAGGCATCTAGGGTAAACATTTACATCAGGTAGATACACTTCTTAAAGCTATCATTCTTGGGAGATCAGAAGGGCAGTGTTTGCACAGACAGATAGTTCCAGGGGAGGAATGCAGAGGAAGGAAGGACACGGGGAATAGGTTACTACAGGGAAGAAGTCAGAAGAGAACTGGTACATTGTGGGGAATTGCAGTCAATGTCATGAAAACAGGATGTGTAGAAACTGCACATGCATTTGCTCTGTAAACTTTCACCCAAATCACAATAAAAATTTTAAAAAAGAAAGAAATAGCCCCAAGATATGAGATGGCTTGACCATGTTGAAGCTGTTTTACATTCTCTCCTCTTCCCCAGCATTCTCTTTGTAAAATGCCTTCAAGAGATGGTTAATGTAACAAGCATCATGAAACACAGAGCATAACATATTTCAAGAGCTTACAGCTCTTGTTGACTTACCACTTGGTGACTTACTGAGTCCCTGGGGTTATGAGGTTGTATTCTTCAGTAAGAATCATCACTCCTTCCTTGTTGCTTTCCCTTCAGAAGTAGGAAGTTGAGTTTGGCCACACAGAACTCTTGGAAATGGGATTTGATTTCTACAGACAGGCTAGCTTGGGCTTTGGCCCTTGACTGAAGCAACCTGGATTCCAGATGTGTCCTGAGAAAGTTGGGTGGGTGGGCACATCTGGTCTGGAGCATCATCTCAGATGTGGGTTTCTTCTTGGACTGCACATCTCTGGTTTCTTCCAGTGTTGGGATGTGTTCTGGTTACCTAGTGCCACTCTGACAAGAATATACCACAAATGGGATCGCCTTAACAAGCAGGAGTTTATTTTCTTAACAGTTTGGAGACTTTAAGTCCTAGTTCAAAGTGCCAGGTTGTAGGGGCTGGGTGAAAGCCCCTCGACCTTGGGCTTCAGCTCTGCCTTTTGCTCCTGGCCCACTGAAGCTAGAGGCATCTCTTCACTCAGGCAGCTACTGGCTGACAAGCCCAAGGTCAACAAATAAAATGGCACAGTCTCAATGTTACCAAACCACACAGCAGGCCATTGATTCATGTCCATTGGAAGTCACAGGTTTGGCAGAGCACGGCAGGCTGCTGACCAACGACTAGGCTACATGTGGTATTCAAGCGTGCCATAAGCTAGAGACTATCCCCAAGGAAGCAGACCATGTCTCAAGGCAGCTACTTAACTGCTCACAGTAGAATCCACCATGGAGTTGATTATGTCTCATCATGGGGAATACTACATCCAGCTGCCCAACCACTCAACCAAGCCCAGCCAAGTTGACACACAAACTTAACCACCACAGAGTGAGTCCTCAGACAGCTGACCCTGGCCCTCATATGTTGCCACATAAAATGGACATAAATCCTATAGGTGGTAAGTCATCTTCGAAAGGCCATTTAGCTACTCTGAAGAGGATTGTAAGTTTTCCTCCTTAGTTTTGCCACTTTGTTTGGTTCCATTGCCCTGTGGATGAAATCCAGACTCCTAAACATGGCATCAAGGGCCCTGCATGGTCTGGCCTCTGCCCTTGTCTCCAGTCTTACCTGACCACTTCTTGCTCCATTCACACTGATTCATTTACACTTCCCCCAAATACCCTGTGTTCTCCCTCCTCTATGCATGTTACTTCTCTGCTTGTGCTTCTCTCCTTCTCTGTCTTTTACACACACACACAAACACATGTGTGGGCGCACACACACATATACACAGGCACCTGGTCTCATTCACTCTGTTTTTCTGTCTGTCTCTCTCTCTCTTCTCCTTCTGTCTTATTTCTCTGTCTGATCCTTCTGCTGTCTGACATCTATCTATTCAGTCTCCAGGTCTCAGCTTAGCTGTTACTCCTAGGGAGTCTTCCCTAATGTCCAGTCAGTCATATTGAATTGGTTCATTTCTTGGGCAGCCCACCCCTCCATGTACACCCATCAGACAGGCAAATGATTCTTTATTACACTCTGTTGAAATTGCCTATCTTCCCCACCAGCCAGAGCAGGAATCGTCTGTCTTGTTCACCTGTAAAACCTTCCATAAATATTGGTCGAGGAAAGCTTTGTGGTCATGCAGTGGCTCCTGCAGTATTTGTGTGTACAGTGGACACCCGTTTTGTGAATGTGGTGATCTAGGGAAGATCCTAATGGGAAAACTACATTTGCACTTTGATGAGCATCCTTAATGATACTTTTTTCAACACATTTCAGGAAACTGTATGCAGAACTTTGCCAGGGCATCGTAGACATAGCCATATCCAGTGTCTTCCCACCTCCAGATGTGGAGCAGCAGCAGACCCAGCAGACTGCCTTCATCAAGCTCTGATGGACGGAGGTACCCACAGCTGCCTCAGAATAAGCAAGGGGTCTGGCTTCAGGGGAAGGTGAAATGACCGATGGCTCACTATCAAGCCAAAACAAGCAGAAAAGAGGCACCTTCAAGATGGAGCGAAAGCATGAGAAGAAAAGACAACTTCCCCAAAGAGCGAGATGCTGAAGATGTTTCCCAGATCGAGCTCTCTGCACTGCTGGGAAGATTTGAAAACTGAAGCAGATTTCTCTGAGAGCGAGCAAAATACTCTTCAAGGGAGAAAAACAGGGACTTGATAATTTTATGTTCTCATCCTTTTGAAAATCTTCCTTTTCTCCTAAGGCAGCATCGTGAGCAACAGCTATCCTCCCCAGGGAATGCAGACCATTTGGATGTTTGGTTGGTGTCTTTCCACCTGCTGCAGCCTTAGTGCCTTAGCGCTCTTCCCAGCAGCACCCCTTCTGTTCTGGGGCATGGAGCATTTGGGAGGTCACTGATGCGTCCCTGCTCAACATCCCCCCCACCAACACTCTGCCCCACTAAAGTCTGGACGTGCATGCACAGACATCCTGATTTCGTGCTGTGCAATGACCTCGCAGTGAAGTGGGATTTCCTCATCATATTCCTGATGGCGTTTGATCAATCATCTGTCAGGGTTGATGTTGGTTGGGTACCTAAACAGCAAACACTGCTCTCAGTCTGCTCTTTGCATGTTTTAGAAACAAAGCAGCAAGTCTGCCACGAACCTGTAAACATCAAATAAGTATGAAAGGAAAAACATGGCATCTTGCTTTGCTTACCATAGTGGGTATGTTGAGTCTTGAAAATGATGATTTGCAATTATCTTTATTTTAACCAGAGTTCTAAATGCACTTTTGCAAAGTACCCTTTTCTTCACCTTTTTTTTGGGGGGGGGGCGGTGATAACATTTTTGTAGAAACCTCTCTGGGGATTAGAGGGGAAGGTAGGATTCTACCTTTCCTCAACCCAGCAAACACTGCCTCAGGCACGGAGAGCTCTCCTCCCTTTTGTTTTCCCTGCCCTCCAAGCACCTTGCTGGAGGGTCAGGTTTTGTTCCCGAGAGGGTTCTACTACTGCATGTTCTGCAAGCATCAAAGGAGAGGCTCCAAATAAGTTTATGTCCCACCTAAATGGTAGAATTTTCTAACACTGGAAAGAAATGGTTCTGGAGATGCACACAACATCTTTTCTCAGCACATCTGTCCTATTAGATGGAGATCCACTTACTGGATCTACTAACATTTTATCAGAGGCTGTGTCACTAGTAGTGGAAAGAACAAGGTACCATTTGTTGTTGTGTTCATTGTGAGCTGAGGAAGCAGGCCCTTTTTCTAATACGCTGAAAATCACAGCGGACTCTGGAGACTATACATGTCCTCAAACATGATGAGATGTGGAAGCTTATGGTGAAAAAAGGAATAATGATAAAAATTATTTAATAGACACAGCAATGTGTGGTAACAAGATTTAAAGCATTATTTTGGGACTACAAAGAGAAGGGCCCAACCGAGTAGGTTCTCATGGGAATTTAGGATGACAGAATAAAAAGCTCTGGTGGTTATCCAGAATAGGGATAATGAAGTTTTTACATCCAGTCAGTGGAAGAAGTCAATCCTAGAGGCCCCACAGTTGATGGGTTAGTTTTGGGGAAGTCCTGAGGAAGGAATGAGATCTAAACAGACCGTGGAAAGCTGCATGCCCGTCCAGAACTCAGCATCCTGGCTTGTTTTGGCGGCCTGCTCTGGGGAAAGATATGGGATAGTGCTAGCCCATGCTAATACAGATTTGCGATTATCTTTTGGATCCAAATTACATTTGAGAATTTTTCAGCTCTTAAAGTGGCAAACAGCTAAGAATTTAGATGTCAGGAAGTCTGAATCTTGATGGGTTTGATAAGAGACCAATTTAAATAAATGGCATATGTGAGGAAAGTAAGCCTTAAAAAAGTTTTGCTTCCTTCTTCACATGGTATCAAACAAGTACGCTTTTAAGTGTTGATTTCAGATCAGGCAGGATGGCTGAGAACTGGTCCATACCCTTCCATGATGTCCTTGGCACAGATGGCCATGCCTCACTCCCCAGCCAGTACTGTCAGATGATGGGGGAGAAAGTGTTATTTATCTGGAGATGTTGATTCCAATCTTGGCGCTGTCATTTGCTTGCACAATGTCAGCTAAACCAGTTAATCCCTCTGTGCCTTAGTTTCTTATCTCATGGAGGAGAATGTTACCTGCCCCAGTGACTACCTCAAGGGCTTTTAGTGAGGATAAATAAGATTAGGAAGATAGATGCAAGTCTTTAGTACCAAGTACCAAGGCTCTCAACACTGGCCCCATGCTAGAATCACTTATGAAGCCTGTAAAAGATGTTGGAGCCCACACCTTCCCCTCCTGCTGACCAATTAAATCAGTATATTTTGGAAAATGCCTTGAATTGCAGCTTGAGAAGGAAGAACAAACATTACCATAGAAGAATTGGGCCAGGCTTAAGGCTTTTAAAGAAATTCTTTTCAGAAGGAAAGCCTTTTGTTAAGGATGACCAGATGTTAACATATGTATTCATCATGTAAGCAAGTGTGTCTAAGCAGGTTGTCATTGGAAAATGTCTCTGATCCTGGGCACCGGTTTTAGAAATTCAAACAGGCTTTCATTTACCTAGCTCTGGTGGTGTAGGCATTTGACTGCTAACCAGAAGGGCCACTCCTCAGAAGGAAGGTCGGGCCATCTACTTCTGAAGACAAAACTGCCTTGGAAACCCAAGGAGGGGTTGCTATGGGTCAGGAATGACTTGACGGCAGTGAGTTTGGTTTTGTTGTTTCATTTACCTAAACAAGTTTATGAAACTCAGAAAAAAATAAAAGCAGGCATGAATTTATAAATCTGCTAAATATATGTTAAGGTTATTAATTAATAAGAGAAAAGCTCCTCCCTCACACTTAACTCCTGTGGTAATTATAAACTCCATTTACCAAGAACATTTAAGTGCCTCAGTGTCTGTATGAAATATTGGAACAGGTATTGGCATATTAACTAGTGAATGTGATGTTTCACTAGCGCCTCAGGATGATTAGTAACTCTGGTGGTACAGTGGTTAAGACAGTCAGGTGCTAACCAAAAAAACAGTGATTCGAACCCACCAGCCACTCCATAAGAGGAAAATGAGGCAGTCCGCTTCTGTAAAGATTTACAGCCTTGGAAACCCTATGGAGCAGTTCTACTCTGTCCTATAGGGTTGCTATGATTTGGAATTGACTTGATGGCAGTGGGTTTGGTTTTGGGTTTGGTTTAGGATGATCATCACATAAATGGAACATCTGGTAATGGCGGGAAATGAACTGGGATTAACAGAATGCACATGGCAATGAAGTACAAATACGTTTTCCATTAACAGTTGAGGAAATATCAAGCAGGGGTGGATCTGGTCCTGTTGTGGGCATGGCAGGACAGGCTCCAGAATAGGTTCATTCAGCACGTGAGTGAGTACTGTAGAGAAAATTCAGTGATATGTCTCTGATCCTGGGCACAAAATATGTACATAAGAGAAAATATTCAGAAATAAGGCAATTTTATGGATGTTCAAAATGCCTGGAACATTAAAGTAATGATAATTCAGTTGTTTTTGTCCCCTTTGGTTCTGTGATCTTACTGTGGTATTTACTGCCCTGATATGTCTCTGGTTATTTAAATCCACAATATTGTTACACAGGGGTTGGCAAACTTTTTCTGTAAAGAGCTAGATAGTCAATATTTTAGTCTTTATAGGCCATATTGGCTTTCTGTTGTGTATTATTCTTTATATACTATTAAATGAAAATCATTTTTAGTTCATAAGCCATACAAAGGCCCTCTTGTAGTATAGTGGTTAGAGCACTTGGCTGCTAACGAAAAGGTCACTAGTTTGAATCCACCAGCTGTCCCATGGTAGGAAGATGAAGCGGTCTCCTCTGTAAAGACTTACAGCCTTGGAAACTCTATGAGGTGATTCTGCTCTGTCCTACAGGGTCACTATAAGTCTGAATCAATTCGATGGCAGTGGGTTTTTGTTTTATAGCCATTAAAATATATATAAA